TTTGAATATGTATCTATGCTTACAATTTTTTCTGTTGCTATTTTGATAACTTTGCGTTTTGAAAAGAGGGTGTTGTGAGTTTTCATAGTATGTTTAATACTTAAAAACGAAAAGTTAGTTATAATCAAATATAATCAATTATATTCTTGTATAACCCACAATGAAAATGCTTCATATTTTAGGTTTTCTATAGTTACAGTATAAACAAAACAAAGTGGTATGTTTAGGTTGAGTTTTCTTCCTCTCCTCTGGCAGCAGTCCACAGGGGGGGGGGGGGGGGGGGGCTTCACACTAAGGAGACACATTAAGAGGCCAAAGAGAGTTCATGTCCTTTTCACCCTAACATGAGAGGAGGAGTTTTGTTTTTTTGGGTTTAGGATCCAGTTTTTTTAGCATAAAGAGACTGGTTTTTTGAGAGAGCGCGAGAGAGGGGGGGAGACCCCTGGTAGACTCTCTCCGGGTAGGCTGTGTGCTTCAGAGCTGGGTAACTAGCTCTCGGTATTTGGTTCTGTCAGACGGGGTAAATATCTCTCGATTTTCTTGGTTGTTGGCTGAGTGGAATGATTTGATGAAAGATGTGTTTGGGAATATTATAACCGCGACCTGTAAGGATCTTCCTTCGAACTCTTGGCGGATGGGTATGTGTTTTTGACAGGTTAATCCGCCGTCTGTGTCGAAAGATGTGTTTGGGAATATTATAACCGCGACCTGTAAGGATCTTCCTTCGAACTCTTGGCGGATGGGTATGTGTTTTTGACAGGTTAATCCGCCGTCTGTGTCGGAAGATGTGTTTGGGAATATTATAAACCGCGACCTGTAAGGACCTTCCTTCGAACTCTTGGCGGATGGGTATGTGTTTTTGACAGGTTAATCCGCCGTCTGTGTCGGAAGATGTGTTTGAGAATATTATAACCGCGACCTGTAAGGATCTTCCTTCGAACTCTTGGCGGATGGGTATGTGTTTTTGACAGGTTAATCCGCCGTCTGTGTCGGAAGATGTGTTTGGGAATATTATAAACCGCGACCTGTAAGGACCTTCCTTCAAACTCTTGGCGGATGGGTATGTGTTTTTGACAGGTTAATCCGCCGTCTGTGTCGGAAGATGTGTTTGAGAATATTATAACCGCGACCTGTAAGGATCTTCCTTCGAACTCTTGGCGGATGGGTATGTGTTTTTGACAGGTTAATCCGCCGTCTGTGTCGGAAGATGTGTTTGGGAATATTATAAACCGCGACCTGTAAGGACCTTCCTTCGAACTCTTGGCGGATGGGAATGTGTTTTTTTAAGTGTTAATCCGCCGTCTGTGTCGGAAAAAAAACGGTATGAAACTGATGTGAATTAATTGATGAATGGAAAGTTGAATGCGCTTTTTATTGTCACCGGTCTTTTTACGAGGAAATACCTCTAAATTCTATCGGGAGAATTTTAAAATGTCACAACTGAAATGGGCAGTTGAAATTAAAACATTTTGGTAATAAATGTAAGACTGTGAATTAAAGTTTCATTTGAACATGATCACAGCACGGTGTTTTTGTTAGTATGATTATAATGTTGTGAGAGAGAAGGAAAAAACCCTGTATTAGTTTGGACCTATTTTTCTTCAAATAAACTGACTCCCACCTGTTGGATTGGGATCCTTTAAAAGACACCTGTGCCCTCCTCTCCTGCGTCAAAGGTAAGATTGCACCCTGCCACACACACTTAGGTAGGAGCACACTCCATTTACTGATATCAAAATCCTTCGGGATCGCTTAAACAGATTAAAAGAGAGTTGTCTGAATTGAAACAGCAGTTAATTGAACCTGGTTCTTCGGGGGGGGTTAGGAAGAGGTGAGATCTTGCTGACGTTGGTGGATCTGAGCCAAGCAGCAAACTTACATAGACTCAATAATCTTCGGAAAGGTCAATTAGGAGGTCAGAATAATTTACCGGAATAAATTATCAGGACCTCTCAAAACTCTAAACACTGCTTCCAACCAAGAGCATGATTCAAAGCATACAATTCAGCTTGGTACTTTATCTTCTTCTGTCCCTCCTCTGTGTACTTGTGCAATAGATATAATAGTCGTTCATGCATTATATATAATTGTATTTTCATTCGAATCCTGCAATCTTCAAGTGCTAAGTATTAAGCCACGCTAGAGTTCATTAATTTGCTCCTCAAGGGCCTTAAGAAGGCACGTCCTCCACGCAATGATAAAGACTGGCAAAGGGGTTTCACTATACATTGATAAACGTCAGATGCAGTTGTTACAGCTTTCTATTGGTTTCTCAGGTGGTGAATATACACAGACCTCTCACCTTTTAATCCTCAGCATAATATCACCCTTACTGAATTAACGTTGAAGATCAAATATACACAGTTTTGAAACATTCAATGTCTGACAGTTCTGTCTGGGGAGTCAAGGAACCCTGAATAATCATTGCTAAAACTAACACTGTTTTCTTTGTCCTTTATCTTCCATGCTGAACTTCTCGCATCATTGCCCTCTGACACATGGGTCGGCACCCATGTTTATTCGATGGCTGCAAACCCAACGACGAGGGTTCTCCTCCAAGCTGCGCGATCTCTGCCTAAGCTGCGACCTGCCCCCAGATCGCTATTCCCACTGTTTAAGAATCTGCACAGCCACAACCGCAGCTCTATATCCGCCTACCTCAACCCTGAGTATCCTGGACCGTCGGTCATCTTCTGCCCACCAGCGCTATATCGTGCCTCACAGGGATGAGATCCTTTCAGCACAAACAACCATGAGCTCTTGCACTACTCGATGATGAGTAAACGTTCAAATATGTATATCTGTAGAATTCTGTTATTGCATACCAGGTGGTTGCTGGGTTAGATTATATTTATTTCATTATAGTATATTCCCCTCATAGCTGCATGCTTGGGGGGGAAAGCTCATTGTCGCTGCCTCAAAGACCTAGACACAGCAGTCTTGATAGGTAGTATATTCCCCTCAAAGCCGCGGTGCTTAAGGGGGGATGGCTTTTCGGGCTGTTCCCGGGCCTTCACATAGCAGTTTCACTAGGTAGTATATTCCCCTTAAATCCGTGGTGCTTAAGGGGGATGGCTTTTCGGGCTGTTCCCAGGCCTTCACATAGCAGTCACTAGGTAGTATATTACCCTCAAAGCCGTGGTGCTTAATGGGGATGGCTTTTCGGGCTGTTCCCGGGCCTTCACATAGCAGTTTCACTAGGTAGTGTATATAGGTAGTATATTCCTCTCCAAGCCACTGTGCTCAGGGAAGAATCGGCTCTGGGCTATTCCTCAGGCCTACACATAGCAGTCTCACTAAGTAGTATATTCCCCTTAAAGCCGATGTGCTTAGGGGGAATGGCCACATGGCAGCTCGCCAGGCCCTCTACTTATCAGTCTTACATCACCAGCGTCAGGCTCGGGCTACGCAGTTTTGGGGGATAGTATCTAATCTCCATGCAGTTTTGGGGGTTAGTTATTTAATCATCACTCATCGTGCTATGTATATCTATGGAGTGATGATGCCCGAGCCTAGTCGCCAAACTCAACTATATGCTGCTTCTAATAAACATGTTAAAGGAACACGTGAGTTGTCTGACTGAAATGAGGCGAAGCCTGCGAGCTAGTTCAGGCAGTCAACTCGAGCACTTATGCTGCATTCATACATAACGCCCCCTTGCCACTCTACAACCAACCAAACAGAGTCTCCTTAATATGCCGCTCTATTTAACCTGCAGATCTCTCTCCATGCATTGCTTGCTGCTGCTATGCCGCAGCTACCTCTACGTCGCTGCTGCTTGCCTGCTGCCACTGCTGTGTTCACTTGCTATTGCTGCGTTCATGTTCCTGCTGCTGTGTTTCATGTTGCTGCTGCTTGCCTGCCCCACCACCACCCCAGCTTCCACCCCAGCTTCCACCTGTAGGCTCGGGGGTTAGTTATTTAATCATCACTCATCGTGCTATGTATATCTATGGAGTGATGATGCCCGAGCCTAGTCGCCAAACTCAACTATATGCTGCTTCTAATAAACATGTTAAAGGAACACGTGAGTTGTCTGACTGAATTAGCACTAAGCGAAAGAGTGCTAACGCACTTAGCACATAACTCACAGCAGAAATATGTTATACTTCACCGAATCTGCACAAACAAGATATCATATTAAAGCTGATATTCCACAGATTCCAGAGGTATACTTATCATCACTGAGCGACCAAAACTTGTGGCAGCAAAGGCGAAACCAGACAACACAAAACTTAGCTTTACGGGGCCAAAATGGCAAATACATCTTACCTTTGCTTTTGTCTGATAAAAAGTTGTGTTCAATGGCATTAAAATGCATTAAAACGCTGCTGAAGGTTAATCCAATGTCTCTGTGTCCCTTTGAAATGATCAATGATAATCCATCATCATATTTATGGCAATAAACCTAGTTTTCAGAGCGTAACATAGCTTTTAGTTTGGGCAAGCTGCGTGCACATCACTTTCACTCCTCAATGGTAATGTGTAGGTGGATTTAGGAACTTCCCCCTTGATTCTATTGGCTATAACGATTAAAAAGAGGTGTCAATCACCAAAATCGACCAATGGGTTCCAGAGAAACCGCAAATACACCCAAATGACCCAAGAGGTGTTTTTTTCTTTCTAAACCTCTCTAAAGAGGTCAAATGTAACTTGTTTTGCATTCATCTTGATTCTGACTTTTCTAAATCCAACTCACAGGTTTATCATTGCTTTGAGAAAAAAGATTATTAATTTACCCCTTTTAGAAGTGAAGATATAGTCATTTTTTCTGGGAATGTCATTTTCGAGCCTGAGACCTGAAAAACAGGTTTGGGGCTTAACAGGTTATCAGGACAACTACTCTGAGTTACAAAGAATATTTTTCCTTAAAATTAAAGTTTCAGTGACACATTTCATCCAGCTGTCAGCGGCCCTAAAACAAGGGAATTACATGTTTATAATGCGCTGAAAAACACAAAAAATATGCAGGGATGTGAGTCTGTTTCTAAGGCCTTTTTTATTTTGTTACATTATGATAATTTAAACAAAAGAGAACAGAATCAAACTGAAAACATCAGGAATATTTTCTAGATACAGTCATCATATACATTTTTTAGACCAGAACAGACTGCCAACTCAACAGGAACTATCAAAACATCCCAATGAAAGTTTAAAGGTGGGGTATGTTATATTCCATGGAATGCTCTTAACATCCCGATAGCAATGAATATATTAAATGCTTTGACAATAAATACATTAAAAAATTTCATCTGTGGCAGCCGATAGCAATATAAAAAGCACAACCAATTATTTTAGCCGGCCCGGCTAAAATAACTGGATGGCCACCTGCCTGCCTGAATTCCATCTGTGCACAAACTTATCTCGTGCCCTCATTGGTCATGTGCGCGTGTGTGTGTGTTGGAGGAGGGGCTTTGTAAGGAAGTCTGAAGGAAGAGGCGGATTTTTTCCGGTTGTGTACTTTCAAATTCTAGTGCACTCGAGCTGGTTTCTCCAAAATGACATACCCCACCTTTAAGTCATTTTATTAAGCAAACAGATTATTCAAGAAACTAACGGATGCAGCTTAACAAGGCTAGCAGTTTAATCCTGGACATATAATATTTTTATAAAAGGAATAACAAGACTATTAAAAAACCATGATTTGAATTATATCGGGAGGAACAGCATCTCTGTGGCCTTGTTTTGGCATAGTGTGAACGCTGGTTTGAACATAAAAAAACTGTTGGTCAGATTTAGGAAAATACATGATGGGTTAGGGAGAAAACAGCATCTCTTCACACCAGTACGGTTTCTCTCCATGATGAATACGTTGATGTGTTTTCCGAGCACCTGATGTCGTGAACTTTAGCCCACACTCTTCACAGCTGTACGGTTTCTCTCCAGTGTGAATACGTTGATGTGTTTTGAGATGAACTGATTGAGTGAAAGTTTGCCCACACTCTTCACAGCTGTACGGTCTCTCTCCTGTGTGAACTCGTTGATGTGTTTTGAGAGCACTTGATGTCTTGAACTTTAGCCGACACTCTTCACAGCTGTACGGTTTCTCTCCAGTGTGAACACGTTGATGTGTTTTGAGAGCACCTGATTGAATGAACGTTTTCCCACATTCTTCACAGCTGTACGGTTTCTCTCCTGTGTGAACACGTTGATGTGTTTTGAGAGCACTTGATTGAGTGAACGTTTTCCCACATTGTTCACAGCTGTAAGGTTTCTCTCCTGTGTGAACGCGTTGATGTGTTTTGAGACCACCTGATGCCGTGAACGTTTGCCCACAATCTTCACAGCTGTACGGTTTCTCTCCAGTGTGAACACGTTTATGTGTTTTGAGAGCACCTGATGTCGTAAACGTTTGCCCACACTCTTCACATCTGTACGGTTTCTCTCCCGTGTGAATGCGGTGATGTGTTTTGAGATCACTTGATTGAATGAATGTTTTCCCACATTCGTCACAGCTGTGCGGTTTCTCTCCAGTGTGAATGCGGTGATGTGTTTTGAGTTGATCAGATTTCTTGAATGTTTTCCCACACTCTTTACAGCTGTACGGTTTTTCTCCAGTATGAATACGCCAGTGGAGCTTTAAATCTCCAGATGTTGTAAAGGATTTATCACATTGCTGACAGCTGTGATGTCTTGCTCTTCCTTTCGGTTTCTAAAACAGACGGGCAGAGAAAGAGAGAAAATAAATCATAAAGCATAAATACATATACAGTTAACACAAGAAAAACTCACTTATACAAACTTTCAGTTAACAAAATACTACTTGTACTAACTGTTTGTGATTATTAAATTGGTATTATATTTGATAGAGTAATACAGCAACATGGTGTGGGACTCGAGTCACATGACTTGACGCGAGTCTGACTCAAGTCGCATATTTTTGGACTTGAGACTTGCTTGACTAACATTGATAAAAGACTCTACTTCACTTTGACTTTATTCATGACTTGAGACTTGACTTAGGCTTGAGACAGATGACTCGAAAGGACTTTACCTTTTAAAATAAAAATGTTTTCATTTGTTTTCTTATTGACCTCTGAAGAACCAGCACCTTACCGTGGTAGAGAGGTTTGTGTGCCCTGATGAACCTGGGGGCTGTGTTGTCTGAAACCTTGTGTTCCTGGTACGGTCTCCCATGGCAAATTGGTCTCAGGCAAGGGGCCAGACTAAGATCGGTTCAAAAGACCTCATGAAAGACGACACAGGAAGTGAGGATACCTGGCCCAGAGGAAGCCCGGGGTCCCCTTCTGGAGCCAGGCCCAGAAGGAGGACTCGTCGGCGAGCGTCTGGTGGCCAGGCTTGCCACGGAGCTTCTCCGTCCCGCGGGCCCACCACCTACGGGAAACAGCAATGGGGTCGAGTGCACTGCCAGAAGGGTGGCAGTGAAAGCAGAGGGTCTCAACGGACCAGACCCGAGTGACAGAAGCTGGCTTTGGGGACGTGGAACGTCACTGTCAACTCTGACTGTTGTGTGTGCTTATGCACCAAACAGCAGTTCAGAGTATACAGCCTTCTTCGAGACCCTGGAAAGAGTCCTGTATGGGGCTCCTGAAGGGGACTCTTTAATCTTGCTGGGAGACTTCAACGCACATTAGGGCAATGATAGAGACACTTGGAGGGGCGTGATTGGGAGGAACGGCCCCCCTGATCTGAACCGGAGTGGTGGTTTGTTACTGGACTTCTGTGCAAGTCATGGATTGGCCATAACGAACACCATGTTCGAACATAAGGATGCTCATAAGTGTACGTAGTACCAGAGCACCCTAGGCAGAAGGTCCATGATCGATTTCGTTATCGTATCATCGGACCTGAGGCCGTATGTTTTGGACACTCGGGTAAAGAGAGTGGCGGAGTTGTCAACTGATCACCATCTGGTGGTGAGTTGGGTCGAGTGGCGGGGGAAGTCTCTGGACAGATCTGGTAAGCCCAAACGTGTAGTTCGGGTGAACTGGAAGCGTCTGGAGGAGGCCTTCAACTCACACCTCCGGCGGAGCTTTTCGGGCATTCCTGTGGAGGTTGGGGACATTGAACCAGAGTGGGCGGTGTTCAAAGCCTCTATTGCCGAAGCCGCGGCAGGGAGCTATGGTGTCAGGGTCTTAGGTGCCTCAAGGGACGGTAACCCTCAAACCTCCTGGTGGACACCGGTGGTCAGGGAAGCCATCCGACTGAAGAAGGAGGCCTTCAGGGATTTGTTATCCCGGGGGACTCCCGAGGCAGTTGCAAGGTACCGACAGGCCCGAAGGGCAGCAGCCTCAGCCGTGGCCGAGGCAAAGCAGCGGGTGTGGGAGAAGTTTGGAGAAGACATTGAAAAGGACTTTCGGGCGGCACCAAAGTTGTTGTGGAAAACTGTGCGACACCTCAGGAGGGGGAAGCAGTGAACCATCCAAGCTGTGTACAGTAAGGATGGGACGTTGTTGAACTCAAATGATGGAGTGTTAGGGCGTTGGAAGGAACACTTTGAGGAACTCCTGAACCCGACAACTCCGCCCTCTATGTTAGAGGCAGAGCCTTAGTATGACGGGGGATCAACACCAATCTTCCGGGAGGAGGTCACGGAGGTCGTCAAACAACTCCACAGTTGCAAAGCCCCGGGGTGGATGAGATCTGCCCAGAAATGCTGAAGGCTCTGGGTGTTGAGGGACTGTCATGGTTGACACGTCTCATCAACATTGCGTGGAAGTCGGAAACAGTACCGAAGGAGTGGCAGACCGGGGTGGTGGTTGCCCTTTTCAAAAAGGGGGATCGGAGGGTGTGTTCCAATTACAGAGGCATCACACTACTCAGCCTCCCCGGGATAGTTTACTCTTAGGTACTCGAAAGGAGGGTCAGGCCGATTGTCGAACCTCAGATTGAGGAGGAACAATGCGGATTCCGTCCTGGTCGTGGAACGACGGATCAGCATTTTACTCTCGCAAGGATCCTGGAGGGGGCCTGGGAGTATGCTTATCCGGCAGAGATGGGGACTCGAGTTTGTGACTCGGACTTGAGTCGCACTTAAGTCGCACACACATAGACTTCAGACTTGACTTGGACTCCTACTCAAAAGACTTCGGACTCGACTTGGACTCGTGTTTTGGGACTCGTGAACAATCATTGTGTTTTCTATTTTTGGCGTATTAAAGGTGGGGTAGGGAAGTTTGAGAAACCAGCTCGAGATCGCTAGAATTTGAAAATACACAACCGCAGAAAATCTGCCACTTCCTCACAGAGCCCCTCCTCCAACACACACGAACGCGCACATGACCAATGAGGGCACGAGATAAGTTTGTGCCCCGATGGGAGGCTGACAGGCAGGTAGGTCATCCAGTTACTTTAGCCGGGCCGGCTATCGGGATGTTAAGAGCATTCCATGGAATATAACAAAAAGTGTATCTCGAGCCGGTTTCTCAAAATTACCTACCCCACCTTTAACATTAACATCATGGTCACACCATGGCGACCGGCGGGACACCTGCAGCTGTACCGCTTGTAATTAGGTTCAACTATAAAAACTTCGAACAAAACGCCGGCGGCACCAACAAAAGGAGCGCACACTGCAAAGTCTGCAATATTAAAATCAAGGATGCTGGTGCAACAACGTCAAATTTCATCAGGCACTTGAAAACTCACCCGGAGTGGTCAGTCACATTAACGCATATGGACGGTTAGCAAACATGTTTAGCTCAGCATCAGCTATATAATGTTAACTTAGCTTGCTACTAGCTTTGTAACTGAATATTTGAAAAGATGAGTGAATGTTTGCTTGTCACACTTGTTTGCGTTGAGTGGCGTTGACATCCAACTCTTGACATGACATAAAAAAGGTCGGTAACGTTAATCATTACGTTCCGCTGCCACGTAGAAAAATACATAGTTACATACATAAATACATCTGTCGGTTTATAGGCAGGTTACAGGTTTATTGTTGACCACGTAACGTTAATGTTACAGGTTTATCAGGTTACCATTACACTGGGTTTGAGTGAGAGGATAGAGGAATATGTTTATTTATAGTAGACTTAAAGATGTAATTAGAGACCCAGTGTAATTAAACAATACGGTTGCAGAGGTCAAATTTTAACATTTTTGTCCACTGGCCAAATGGCTAGCCTAGTGAATGTTGAAATGTTACCAGCCACTCAATAGATTGCCATTGTTATTTGTGGCTGGTGCGTGCAACATACAGTACCAGCCACTTGCATGATTTACCAGCATTTGGCTGGTAAATGGTGTTAATGGTAGATATCTCTTTTGGAACAGGTCATGTTTTAATATCACCAGTTCAGTATATTTCAGACAATATTGCAGCAATAGTTTTTTAGTTGCAAATGGCACAGAACAAATGTATACTTTTAAGTACTTTTAACACAGTTTCCCTGCGGGGGATTAATAAAGTATTTGTGATACTGATTTCTGATTCTGAAGTGTTTTGCTTATAAGTTGTTTGCATTTAGCTAAAGTGTGATGTTTTTCCTCATATTGCATTGCAATAGCCTGTTTAAAGTGATCATATAACAAACAACTAATCAGTACTGATACTGTATGCTAATAGATATAGGAGTGATAATGATACAGTAAATGCTTTGAATTTCTTAGATATAGCTGTGCAGTATTCTTAACAGACTGGATAGCAGCAGACAATAGAAGGCTTATTACAACCAGAAGAGACATGAGACTTTTTTTTTTAGAGACTTGAGACTTGACTTGGACTCGTGACCAAAGACTTGAGACTTGATCAAGTCTCACCCCACAAAGACTTGAGACTTGACTTGGACTCGTGACCAAAGACTTGAGACTTGACTTGGACTTGCAAAAAAAGACTTGTGAACATCTCTGTTATCCGGTCTACATGTGTTTTGTAGACTTGGAGAAGGTTTATGACAGAGTTCCCAGGGAGTTACTGTGGGAGGTGCTGCAGGAGTATGGGGTTAGGGGGTCTCTACTCAGGGCCATCCAATCTCTCTACTCCCAAAGTGAGAGCTGTGTCCGGGTCCTCAGCAGTAAGTCGGACCCATTTCCAGTGAGGGTTGGCCTCCGCCAGGGCTGCGCTTTGTCACCAATCCTGTTTGTAATATACATGGATAGGATTTTGAGGCGTAGTCATGGGGGAGGGGGTCTGCAGTTCGGTGGACTAAGGATTGCACCACTGCTTTTTGCAGATGATGTGGTTCTAATGGCTTCATCGGTCTGCGACCTTCAGCACTCACTGGATCGGTTCGCAACAGAGTGTGAAGCAGCTGGGATGAGGATCAGCACCTCCAAATCTGAGGCCATGGTTCTCAGCAGGAAACCGATGGACTGTCCACTCCAAGTATGGAATGAGTTCTTACCCCAAGTGAAGGAGTTCAAGTATCTCAGGGTCTTGTTCTCGAGTGAGGGAACAATGGAGCGTGAGATGGGCCGGAGAATCGGAGCAGCGGGAGCGGTACTGTAATTGCTTTACCGCACCATTGTGACGAAAAGAGAGCTGAGCCAGAAGGCAAAGCTCTCTTTTTACCGGGCCATTTTCGTTCCTACCCTCACCTATGGTCATGAAGGATGGGTCATGACAGAAAGAACGAAATCGCGGATACAAGCGGCCGAGATGGGTTTTCTCCGCAGGGTGGCTGGCGTCTCCCTTAGGGATAAGGTGAGAAGTTCAGTCATCCGGGAGGGACTCGGCTCCTCCTTCAC